TTGACTGACGAAGTCCTTTTTCGTTACAAATATCTTTGAAGTGTCCAAAGTCGTGACACAAGCAAACGTAAAAGGTTACCTTATGTCTTTCTGCCCAAGTATGCAAAACAAATAATCTCATAAGGTTAGAACGCTCTAATCAGCTCAGTTTTCCAATTGTTATTATGCTGACGGCACTGCAGTCTCAATTTTTACGCGTTCATACACGTGCCTTAGGCATACGTTAAAAGCGAGTTTGTAATCTTTTGCTCATATAGGGCAAAGAATTTTCATGGCAGATTTCACCTCCTTGTCTTGCTTGGTTCCCGAAATCGCCGAGGAATTTGCTAGTTTTCCTTCAGTTTCCGCACGTGGGTCAAAGATGTACAGAAACACTAATTTTTAGTTGGCGGGATCGCACGTGGTTTAGGAGCATCCTCGTGAAATTTCAGCTCCAAACCTTTTTTAATTTTACAGTCGAAATTGAACGACAAAACTTGCACACATACACACGTATGTACACACACATGCACACACACACACACACACACACACACACACACATACACACACAGATACACGCGTGCGTTCATACAAACACATACATGCACATATACAATAGGAAAACGCAGGACAGTTTCTTTTCAAAGTGCGATTGCTCATTGCATCAAATGTCCAAAAATGCATAAGGAATCCTGAATAAAAAGTTATCTTTGCTAGAAGAATCATCACTGTTGAAAAATGCCAAATTCAAGGCAGAAAAGTACCACTGTATTAAGCAAGTTCCTCACTAAACAGAGTTCTACCTCGCATATTAGGATCGAAGCCCATGCCAATTGTGCGTTGTTTAGTCAGTAACACCACGCTCTTCTCACATTTTATCCTTACAACATTTCCACGTATGGACTTGCCCAATATTCACAATCCTTACTTCTCCACCTAGCGCAACTGCCAGTGCTTCGACAACAGACGGCGGCCCACCAATAAAGGATGAGCCGGTGTCGGAGATCGCTTCGGCGGAAAACGAACAGGCGTAACCGGTAGTGCCGATCTGTCTCAAACTGAACTGCCAATATGCCGCTGAACTCAACGTTGTGTAGCCCATGATATCACCGCAGTGTTCGCTGTCGAAGCCACCATAAGTAAATTGACCACCGCATGCACCGCTTCGTGGCTTCTGCAATTCCGGAAAATTCCGTTTATAGATTGCTAATGCACACGGCATCATTATCAGCATCACTTGCAACTGTCCAGTAACAAACGTTGCATCTTGCTTCCGACGGATTGCACTCAAGCGTCTAGTTTCAAGGACTTAGGCAGATTTAAAGCATTTTAGATTCAAAAACATGACAACTCGTAGCATATCGGAAAACACTGAGTCCAATGGAAATGTGAGAGTTCTTAGAATAACGAACCGGAAGGAAGTACCTACTTAAACAACTCATCATATGAAAGCAGTGCTATGCAGAAATAATATGCAATTAACAACAAAAGGAAAAGGGCTACACGCTAGCCGTCAAACAGCGAAGAACGAAGGTTGCTTGAAACGCTCATCATAAGCTCTATTAAAAGAGTGATATGCGGAAAATGGTCGAATTCTCGATCGCGCATGGAAGCAGCTGCTCGCTTTGCGATAAGTAGCAGAAGGAAATACTACTGCTATTGCCCGGTT